GGTATCCACTACTGTAAATATTTTAAATTGAAGATCAAGTTCATTCATTGTATCCATATAGGGTCAAGGAATGTAGCTGTAAAAAAAACATCAAAATCGGAGTTAAAATAACCGTTAAATCGTGATTTTTTGTTGACAATCGTCGAAAAGTTTTATCCCGTTACTTGATCTCTGAATGTTTTTTTTTTTTTGTGATTTTTTGCTGATGCGATCTCAAAGCATATACAAACAAGTTTGACGGTTGGATCGTTGAAATTAGTTTCGTATAATTCGTATCTCATCAAGTTCAATGATATATATATATATATTAAGTAGATTTAAATTTATTTATTTTGTACGCATAACACTTAAGAAATTGAATGGTATGTATATTCAAGCCGATCCAATGGTCACCAATTTTTAATATTTAATTTAATTTAATTATTATAGTTTTTAGGGGTATAAAATTGTTAAATTAATATATATAATTATTATAGTATTTGTTTAGGGTTATAAAATTATAAAATTAATATTTTGCTTATTGTGTATTGTGTTACCCACGTGTATACCCCAACCAACCTGTTATCTTAACAGGTGCTTATCAGGTTATCCGATTCGTTATCGTGTCGACCTGAACACCTGTTCATTTCTTGTTGTGTCGTGTTGTATCGGGTTATCGGGTTGTGTCAGGAATTGTCAGACCTAGTTATAAGGGACCTGTAACAGACTAAGAGTCGCATGCTTGTGTATGACAGAAAAGAAGAGCTTGAAGTTATAGGATACACTGATTCTGATATGGCAAAAGGCTTAGATGAGAGAAAATCAACTGGTGGCTTTTCCGTTTGGTAGAGGTGCAGTGTCTTGGAAAGAGTGCCTAGAAAACCATCGTTGCAACTTCTACTATGGAAGCATAATTCATGGAATGTTTTGAAGGTATGAAGCAGCCAATTTAGCTGAAGAATCTTGTGGCAGAATTAAATTTTGTGAGATCAATACAAAAACCTTTGTGATGATCTATCCAAGTTAAGTTTTATTCAACTTTTAGCTATTATAATTGTTAGCTAGTTTTAATATCTTCATAATATTAGTCTTTGCAAACTGTTACTATTGATTGATCTTGAAGGTGGTTTTTTAATTCAGTTTGGTGCTTTGAATAAAAGGTGTGTTATTGAATTAAGTTTGATAGTTTTTCAAGTTTGATAGTTTGGAATGAATTTCAAGTTTTTCAAGTTTGAATTAAGTTTGATGGTTTTTAATTTACTATTATATTGGAATGAATTTCAAGTTTGATAGTTTTTCTATCTGTTTTAAACATAACGTTTTTGAATTAAGTTGGAAATGGGAGTGGATAGTTTGAGGTCTACTTATGTCAGTTTGATCATAATTTTATGAGTGCAAATTGAACATGTGTGATCTAAGGGTAGCAATTACATAATGGTTGTAATTGAAACCTCTTTGGTCCTGTGTTTTGCAATGCACGGGTAGATTGTTGATGATGAGTACTCAAAACACTTAGCGACCCACCCTATTGTAAACTTGATTGAACTGACTTATAGGTTTCATACTTGCTCAAGAGAGAGAACGTAAGAATATGAGCATGAGGATGAGTATGAGAATTTAGTTATTGGGTTCAAAATTGAATAGGAAGTCTTGTTAGGAATGGATTTGTAATCCATATTGTTCTAAAACGGTTAAAGAACAAAGGAATTAAACTACTATTTGAAGAGAATCAGTTTTCTGTGTAGATTTTAATAGGGAAATCCTTACAGAACTTGGCTAGGATTATGTTATATATAGCGGCCTCTACTCTCATAGTTTACGCTCTATAATTGAACTAAGGCCTATTGTTAGTTAGAGCAAACTGATTAGTGGAGAAAGGAGAAGGTTCACTAGTTGTTTGCTACAAACTTTGGACATGGCTGCTTCTTCGAGTTCATCTGCAGGCCATGTTCTAAAACCCTGTAAAGGCGGCCACCTAGGCATTGGGCGTCAGACCGCCGCCGCGATTTTTCCAAAAACGTTCAATAAATTGGTAAGGGTATTAGACGGTGTCTAGGAAAAACGTTCAATAAATCGGCAAGGGTATTAGACGGTGTCTAGGCGGCCGACTAGGCGGGCTAGGCAGTCTCGGTGGCGAACTAGGCGGTTCTGTCAAAAAATTACACATCGGTGTTTCACTACACATCGTAGAAGAGGAGGACGACAACATAAAATCTGAAAGAGAGAAAGAGAGCGAGAGACCAGTAAAAGGAATAATAGTGCAATTGCTGGAAAAAAAAAAAAAAACGAAAAATTTGACCTGGACTCTTCGGATTTCTTTGCCGGAGCTAGTAATGTTTTCGAGGATCATTGATGTGCTAAACTAGGTTTTGGGAAACTTTGCAGGGCAAGAAGATGGGGAATTAGGCAAAGAAGACGATGGACAAATACGCGGAGCAATCGAAGAAGTGGAGGAACACTGGAAGAGGAAACAGGACACCTCAAAGTAAAAGCCTCTCGATTTCCAAGGCGTCAAAACCAAACTCCCCTTATCTGATTTATTTCCACTACCAACTCCCCTTATCTTATCTGATTGATTTCCACAAGTTATAAATTATAATAAAAAACAATTACCCACTTCACTATTAAATAATATATTATGTAATTACTACTTGGGCTTATAAGTTATAAATTATAATAAAAACAATTACCCACTCCACTATTAAATAATATATTGTGTAATTATTTGGAAGATTTATATATAGAGATCAAAACTTTAACTATATTTCAAGAACCTTCACTAGTTTTTAAACAAGTCAATAAGAAACTTGTTTAACACTTAAATAAGCACATATTATATGTTTGCTCCCCATATCTTTATTATTGTTCAATACTTCATAATATATATGTCATTCTATTTTTTAGTTTATGATGAAATTATATATATATATATATATATATATATATTAAGTATAAATTGACACTTATTTACACAAAATACAATAGATTTACTTAAATCCGCCTAGTCCACCTAGGCGTTAGGCCCCAACCCACCGTCCGACTAGCGCCTAGCATTTTTTAGAACCTTTTGTCTACCGGTAGGTTTTCTTCTCCGCGCAAACAATTATGAATTCTGCTTTGTGTTTTAATTGCTGAGATTCATATTACATGATCTTGGTTAATGTTTATGCTAACAGGATAGTGGGAGATGAGGAAGAGAGATTCGGCCAAGAATAGCCTCTGTGTGTGTGTGTGTGTGAAAGAGAGAGATGAGCTTTCAAATAGAGGGAGGCTTGTTTAGTTACAGAGAAAGAACTAATTAGAAGAACAACAGATCACTAGAAAAGAGACGGAAAAAAAAAAGTTTATTCACAGCTGGAAAGCTTACGAACCGACCAGAAATAAAAAATTACAAGCTACAAGAACATATACAGAAGGAGAAGTGAGGATACACACACACACACAGAGACAGAAAATGTAAAGCATCTGCCAGCCTTAATCCAATGAACGTTTAAGCATCTAAGTAAAGACTTCAACTAACAAATTAATAATGCAAAGCTGTAATTTTGTTTGATGTATTCATTACTTCAGCTACCCAACTACAGTTATAGCTCATTTACTCATTTTGTCATGGGTGTGATGGGAAGTGGGAGAGTAACTCGTATGGTGCATATAATAACAGGTCATCGTCAAAAATATGAAAGGCTTACCTAAATGTGTGAAAAAAGTTAAAAGCCAAATAAAAGTCAAATTTCCCCTAGGATTTAGCCCATGTGTGGTTATCACCAGCGAGACCTCATCCACATAGGCATGTCTTCCATGATTTATTGAATCTAACGGCTAAGATCAAATATAATCAAATCTAATGGTAAAACAAAGATCTAACGGCCCAAATTTAAATCCAACAGCTAAAATAATTAAAAAAATTATTTAACTCAAAATTCATCAAAATTTAGTGATTTTTCAATATTATTGGAATTTAAATATTTTTAAGTTAAAATATTCATAAAATTAAATTATGATATTGTACATAAATTTTTTTTTTAAATTACTTTAAAACAAAAAAAATTAGCCTAAATTTATTCTTTAATAATCTCAGGCTAAAAAATTTAGACCAAAAGGATTGAAACAGAAAAACTATTTCTAGGTTAAAACCTAAATTTTATGGGCTAAAAATTTTAGGTTTTAGCCCATGGGTTGGAAATGGTCCTAGAGAGTTAGATGTGCCACGAAGAGTGTTCTAGAAAAGAACAACCTACATGAAATGGGTTTGCCAATTACCATCATGTGCATCTTTGACCTTCTGGAAATACATTTGATGGGTGCAGTTCGACGTGTATCTCATATCGTGACTATTAAACTACAATTCTATAAAGACTAAAGAAAACTATATATTAATGATACTAAAAAAAAATCTTATCTTGTGCTCGTCCAAGCATGCAGACTTTTTCAAAGTTCCAACATCACCACCCTTGCATAAAATTTCACGAGTTTTATATAATTTTATTTGGTAATTTTAACTTTCATGTCCCTTATTGAATACATGCATTCTACCGGTGGTATTAGATAAGAAACAAACATGTTAATCAATATTTAATTAATAATTTAATTATTTACAATCATATTATTTAGTTTGTAAATTTAATTTGAAAAATTTATTAGACATACTGTGTTGAGATATTTCAAACCCATGATGGCTTGTATTTAACCATTGATGAATCTGGTTAGTGGAGATTCTCTCTCGCAAGTTTTTCTTCACGAGTGGACAATTCTATGTTACGTAAGCCCTAAACCCTACCTACTAGTATAACTCTTATGTACAGAGAGGAGATAAAATACTTGTTATCTTGGAATAATTTGAGCTATACAACTCCTATAATTTTGAATTGGAATTTTTATTAATTCCAAAACCTTTTGGATGGAACTAGAAACATGTATTTTCGATTTGATTCAACCAAAAATCAGACTTATTCATGAGTGAAAAATAGTAGGGTCTTCAAATTAAAATCATACTCGACCAGAAAAATCATAAGTAACATGAATACAGTAAATAAGATATCATTTAAGATAAAAGCAAAAAAAATAACACAATATTACTGGTCAATTAGACAGCAATAATTGACAAATTAGGTTATTAATTAGTTCTTCAGTCCCTTCCATATTTGAGCAACCTCAGCAAGTGACTTGGTAGACGACCCTTCTTCTGCCAAAACCAATTTGGCTGCCTCTTTATACTCTTCCATCTTCTTCCTTAGCAATTTTCCTTCATCTCCTTCAATTAGGTCCCTAATATAATTAGCAATATCTTGGCTCTCCACTATGCCCTTCTTATTCTCTTTGACCCCCAATGCAACTTTCAAACCATCAACTAGTATCACCTTATTCATCTTTTGCTCTGCATAGAGCGGCCAAGCAATCAAAGGCACACCATGCATGATGCTCTCTAGTGTCGAGTTCCACCCACAATGGGTCAAAAACCCGCCCGTTGACCTGTGATTCAACACTTCGACCTGTGGGGCCCACGTCGGCACAACTAGACCCACATCTTTGGTTCTCTCCAAAAACCCGTTTGGTAGAAACCCAAGTAGGTTTTCTTCGCCTTCACTAAAAAAAGCAGCATTTTTAACCGTCTTGTTTGGACTCTTGACTACCCAAATAAATCTATGCCCACTCAATTCAAGACCCAAGGCCAACTCATTCAGTTGCTCTTGTGAGAAAGTCCCACCGCTCCCAAATGAAACAAATAAAACTGACCCATTGGGCTGCTTATCAAGCCACCTCAAACACTCATTCCCATCGATCCCATCTATTGAACCGGTTTTTATCACCGGTCCAACCGGATAAACCGGTGGAATTCCTCTCCCTTGATCCTTGAGAGCCTTAAAAGCACCCGGTTCCAAATCCACAAAGCTATTGACCATGATCCCGGCAGCCGAACCATACTTCTTGCACATGTGAATCACAGCTTTGTAGGCCGGGTTGGTCCTATCCTGAAGCGGATCCGGGAAATCTCGACCATGAAGTGGCACACAGCCAGGGAGTTGGACCGGTTCAGGCATGTCCCTATACTCACAAGAAGTGGTCTCATGAAGGTGTGGCAGATGAAATATAAGCAACAACCCTATAGCGCTACTGGGGAAAAACATATAAGGGGACACTTGGAATTCAACGGCGACATCAAAAGCGTCCACACCAAAAACATCAACAATAAGTGACACTAGCCGAGTTGACTCGTTTAGTACCCTTACTGAGTCCCGGAGAGCCGAGAGAGACCGAGTCAAGGTGAGACCGATCTTGGTCTCGATCATGGCGTCATCAGGGAGGTCATCGAAGCTCACCGGAGGGAGGAAGACGTAAGAAATGGAAAGAGAACTGAGGGCTTCGAGGACCTTTCTTTGGGGTGTCAAAAGCGACCCGTCGTTCGGGATGATGAACGTGACGGAGAAGTTGTGATGGACGACCAGTCGTTTGGCTAACTCGATGAGGGGAGTGAGGTGACCTATGCCCGGGGTTGGGACAATGGCTACATGGGGTGGCGTGAGCAGTTTGTGGTGGTGGCTGCTGCCGCCGCTATGGCCTTGGGTGTCTAATGCCATTGTAGTAGGTGCGCAAGTCAAAGGTTTTGGTGTGATGAAAAACGAATTGGAAGCAAAGAAAGGGTATTTAAAGAAGAGAATGGAAAATAAACGACATCGCTGCTGTGAGTTGGTTTTATGGTGTAGAATTTTCAATGGACTGTGAACTGTGGCAACTTAATACTGTAGTGGTATTTTTTTATTTATTTGTAATTGAAGAGTTATAAGTTTGATTATCGATAAAAAAGAATTTAAAATATATCATTACTAGTTTATTGTAAGATAATTTCCCATTCCTCCAAAGAAAATGAAATCATTTTTTTAAATAGAAAAATAAAATGTGGACCGTGAGGTGAGATTTTTGTTTTGTGTTGCAGACTTGCAGGTAAGTGTCACAGATCCAACAACAGAAAGCTTTGCAAAATTTTTTACTTTTATTTTTGTCTATTTGCGTTTAAATTTTTTTAATTTGCGCGTTTGTTTTGTTTTTTATATATTTTTTGTTTGGGTAACTGACTTTTAAACTTCTTTTTAAAAGATGGGAACTGGGAAAAGTCATTTTTGTGACTTTAATTTTCTTCTTTTGACAACTACGTGCTTGAAGTTTCTAGATTTGGATCTTCGCCGGATCTTTTCCATGAAGATTTTAAGGATCAACGTACGTGAATCGTTGATTAAAAATCGTACGATCATAATTAAATATTTTTTATATTTTTAAAAGTAAAATAGCCTCGTTTTGCATGAAAATATAAAAAAGGAAAAAATTATGGCCGCACGATATTTTATCAACGGTCTACATGCGTTGATTCCTAAAATTCCCAATGAAAGGATCTAGCGAGGATCCAAATCCGAAGTTTCTTCCCTCTCTAGTTCGACATCACTACTAGTCGTACAGACGGAGGCTACATGGCTATTATATCCTCATAAACTCATAGTTGTTGGCATGTCCATTATTCTAATTCTGAGGGGCCTATGGAAGAGAAAATAGTGCCCCAATCGCGCAAATTTTCTCAGTTATTTTAGTTAGATATTTCGTGGAGAATTTTGTGCGCATGTCGTTTCGTAACAAATCATGACATGCGGATATCAACATATATCGACATACGATGAGTATGTTAGTTAACACCTGAAAGTTAAAGGTCATAATATGCAACTAGTGTAAAAAGTACTAGTAAATTAAAACCAATTCAATCTAGGAGTAAGAGTGCACAGTGTAGAAAGAACCCTTACTACAAAACAAGCAATGTTAGAGCGTGAAAAAAAGTGCAATAAAAGTAAGAATAATTTCATCCTGGGTAGTATGGATATTACACAATTAACAAGAAATAAACTATCTACATTGTCAGAAGTAGGTGTCAAAATCGGCCAATGATCCCTCCTCACGATAGAATTCAACTACTAAATTTTGAAAGAACGCAAAACGAAAAATGTAAGTAAAACAAAAGGATATACTAAAATATTGCTTTCCGTAATATAGTATTCCCTCGCTATAAAATCCATATAATTTTTTAAAGAGTGCTACTAATCCCACCTCATTGTCTTATTTTCCCACCCACTTTTTAATAAAATAAAAATAATAACATGTTTAATTTTCTAGAAAAAGAATTTTCAACCCCTATTCTGTTTCTCTCTCCTTCTTGCTTCTCTCTTTGGTTTATCCCTTATCGCCTTCTACATCGACTGCTATGGCTTGTCCACCAACCGTCACCGTCTCTCTCTCGCGTCCCATGTTTAACATTTTAGTACATAAGTTCTCTCTCTTTGTCCCTAATAAACGCCATGCACATGATGACACTTTTTAGGCATCATAGAATTGTTTTTTATGGCATTTGACCAACGCCGTGAATCTCTCTCTTTTTGAATCTAGCGCATCCCATCTCACTCTCTTCGAATCTAGAATTTTTCTTTGGAGTTCGTTCGCACCTGCCCTCATAAATTCTTGCTATCTTCTGCAAATGAACTGAAATGTAGAGGAATTAAAATTTTGCACTCTCTAAATTGAAATTCCTTTATTCTTGGAATTTGAAATCCCGATTGTGGTGGCCATTTTTTCCCCAAAAACAATTCAAATAAGCTTGAATTTACCTAATTAGGGTTTGATTACTCTGCATATTATTCTATGCAAATGATATCGTCTAATATTGGAGTACGATCATGGTGATTGCAAATTTTGGGTTTGTTTTATTAGATTAGGTCCCATCCAATTTTCAAGGCATCTCATTGTAGTGCATTCAGAATTTTTCAGAAATTTTTGGAATTTGGATATAGAAAATTTTTACAAAAAAATTGTTTTATTAGATTAGGTTCCATCCAATCATCTATTTTGTCCTCTTGGTTGTAAAAACAAAACAATGGGACTGTGGTGAAGGTTATTTTAGGAATCATGGTGAGTGGAAAAATAGGATTTCAAAATTTTGAACTTTTATAGTGGGTGAGATTATAACGTGGGTGGGGAAATAAAACAACGGCGTGGGTCTATCAACACTCTTTTTTAAATCATACTATAACTCAGTAAATGTTCCCACCATGCCAGTGCCGACTTTGGAGGAGTGCCAAATGAGCCCCATCTCCAGGGAAAATTTTTAGGTGTAACGGGTACACCAAATTTTTTTGGTGTACAAAAAGTGAGGGTGCACCAAATTTTTTTGGTGCACCCTCACCATTATGAGTGAGGGTACACCAAATTTTTTTGGTGTGCCGGGTACACCGAAAAATCCCTCCATCTCCAGGGAGCCCCCAACTTTTAATTATATATGCATAACTTAATTAAGTACAAATTTGAAAAATATCCAAATAATTTCCTGTTTTGGAGAATACTGTATCTTTTTATGTACTTTTTTTTTGGGTTAAAAACTTCATTTCTTTGATATATATACCTTTCTTCAAATTCTTCCATAACTATTGTTTAGTAAATGTTACAAAGTTGACTTTCCTCTTAAGTTACGTACTCATATTTGATGAGTCCATATTATATTATATATTTTACCCTAATCTTAATATTAATTTATTGGTTATTTTGGTAGAATTTTGATACTTTGTTATATATTTTCAATGTAAGACATTTGACTTTCTCTGGAGGAAAAAGTGATCAAACAGATGAATTTTGAATGATTCCAATTGGAGGATGTTCATGTGCCTTTCAATATGGTTGTGTCGAAATTCCAGATTTTTCTACCAAGTCGTTTGACTGTGGCGATGAAATTAAGGCCCAGCACGCAACTTGTTCAGATTGACGTTTCTAGACGTTTTGGGTATTTTCAAGGTCAAAATGGCAGATTTTGAGAAAGATTCCTCCTGAGGATTTGTAGGGGACATCTTCAGCTTTCAAATGAGACCTTTTGGGACCAAATCGGAGTTGATTTGTTCAGTAAAAAGTATGATTTTCTGAGAACTCCGAATTCTAGTTCAAATAGGAAACCTTTTATTTTCTATTTTATTATTTAATTATGTTTCCTAGTTTTACTCTAAGACTTTTTAGGGTTTTATTTTGTATTAGTATAAATAAGGCTTGTTAGCCATTAGGGTTCACTACGCAACATTGGGGGGAGAACGCAACACTTTCGCTTTAGAGAGCTTTGACAATTCAAGTTTATTTTCAAGGTGCTTTCTATCTATGTTCTTAATAATATTTTGTTTTATGGTTGTTAGTAACTAATTTCGTTTGCTAGGGCAAGGCCACAAGCCTTAGCAAGAATATGTAGTTTTTTTTTTTATTTTTTATGAATTTATGCATGCAAGTTTTGGATTGTTAATCACTGTGCTTTAAACTATCTATTTGTCTTAATGATTGGCTACCATTAGGATATTTAGAAAAGTAATTTGATGCAATTTTGACGGAGGGTTGTCCCTGAAATTGACTAAGGCTTCTTGTGGTTAATGTGTAACTTCTGAGGATGGACGACACGTCTTAAGGGTTATATGGTTTTTCAAAAGGTTTTCACAAAACTTAATGAGTCTTGCATGTTCACATTCAATCTAGACTCCACGGACGGATTGCATGTTAGATATACGTTCTATGTTGGAGGTTCCAAGTAGGACATACTTTAGGAAAACCTAACCTTCAAAATATGGATGTGTAATTCATAAGTAATTGAAAGAACTATGTAAAATTGTTAAGGTGACGGCAAAACCCTAGTGCTCAAATTTATTTTCAAAACTATTTTCTTTTGTTTTCTTTACTTTCCCAATTTATTTAATTATTTTTAATTAAATTCGTTTTTAATATTTTAGGTCATAAAATCAACATTTTCTAAACTTTGTTTTCAATAATGAATTAAGAGTTGGTTTTAAACATAAATTATTCATTCAATCCCTGTTGAAAACGACCTTGCTTGAGCCGTTTATACTACAACTACTTTGTTCTCTTGCAAGTATTTTTAAGTGTTTTTATCCCTACTTTTGCAGGTGGTAAAATTCCTATCAATATTCATTTCCAAAAATTTTTCAGTTGGAACTAGAACTATGTATTTTCAATTTGATCCAGCCGAAATCAACACATAGTCAAAAGCGAAAAATAGTTAGTGACTTCAAATTAAAATCATACTCAACCAAAAAAATCATAAGTAACGTTAACAAAGTAAAAGAAGATATCATTCAAGATAAAAGCCAAGGAAACAACACACACACAAATATATATATATATATATATATATATATATATATATTATTGTTACTGATCACTTAGGAAGCAATAATTGATAAAGTAGGTTACAAATTAGTTGTTGAGTTGAATCCCTTCCATATTTGAGCAACCTCAGCAAGTGATTTGGTAGAGGACCCTGTTTCTGCCAAAACCAATTTGGCTGCCTCTTTGTACTCTTTCATCTTCTCCCTTAGCAACTTTCCTTCATCTCCTTCAATTAGGTCCCTAACATAATTAGCAACATCTTGGCTCTCCACTATGCCCTTCTTATTCTCTTTGACCCCCAATGCAACTTTCAAACCATCAACTAGTATCACCTTATTCATCTTTTGCTCTGCATAGAGCGGCCAGGCAATCAGAGGCACACCATGCACGATGCTCTCTAGTATCGAGTTCCACCCGCAATGGGTCAAAAACCCACCCGTTGACCTGTGATTCAGCACTTCGACCTGTGGGGCCCATGTCGGCACAACTAGACCCACATCTTTGGTTCTCTCCAAAAACCCGTTTGGTAGAAACCCAAGCGGGTTTTCTTCGCCTTTGACACTAGAATAAGAAGCATTTTTAACCGTCTCGTTTGGACTCTTGACTACCCAAATAAATCTATTCCCACTCAATTCAAGACCCAAGGCCAACTCATTCAGTTGCTCCTGTGAGAAAGTCCCACCGCTCCCAAATGAAACAAATAAAACTGACCCATTGGGCTGCTTATCAAGCCACCTCAGACACTCATCCCCATCGATCCCATCTATTGAACCGGTTTTTATTACCGGTCCAACCGGATAAACCGGTGGAATACCTCTCCCTTGTTCCCTAAGAGCCTTGAAGGCACCCGGTTCCAAATCCACAAAGCTATTGACCATGATCCCAGCAGCCGAACCATACTTCTTGCACATGTGAATCACAGCTTTGTAGCCCGGGTTGGTCCTATCCTGAAGCGGATCCGGGAAATCTCGACCATGAAGTGGCACACAGCCAGGGAGTTGGACCGGTTCAGGCATGTCCCTATACTCACAAGAAGTTGTCTCATGAAGGTGTGGCATATGAAATACAAGCAACAACCCCATAGCACTATTGAGGAAAAACATATAAGGAGACACTTGGAATTCAACGGCGACATCAAAAGCGTCGACACCAAAAACATCAACAATAAGTGACACTAGCCGAGTTGACTCGTTTAGTACCCTTACTGAGTCCCGAAGAGCCGAGAGGGACCGAGTCAAGGTGAGACTGATCTTGGTCTCGATCATGGTGTCATCAGGAAGATCGTCGAAGCTCACCGGAGGGAGTAAGACATAAGAAATGGAAAGAGAACTGAGGACTTCGAGGACCTTCTTTTGGGGTGTCAAAAGCGACCCGTCGTTGGGGATGATGAACGTGATGGAGAAGTTGTGATGGACAACGAGTCGTTTGGCTAACTCGATGAGGGGAGTGAGGTGACCTATGCCCGGGGTTGGGACAATGGCTACATGGGGTGGCTTGAGCAGTTTGTGGGGGTGGTGGTGGCTGCTGCCACCACTATGGCCTCGGGTGTCTAATGCCATAGTAGTAGGTGCGCAAGGCAAAGGTTTTGGTGTGATGAAAAATGAATTGGAAGTAAATTGTGGACCGTGAGGTGAGATTTTTGTTTTGTGTTGCAGACTTGCAGGTAAGTGTCACATATCCAACAACAGAGAGCTTTGCAAAATTTTTTACTTTTATTTTTGTCTACTTACGTTTAAATTTTTTTTTAATTTGTGCGTTTCTTTTGTGCTTTATATATTTTTCGTTTGGTAAACTGACTTTTAAACTTCTTTTGAGAAGATGGTAACTGCGAAAAGTCATTTTTGTGACTTCAATCACTACTAGTCCTACAGACGTAGGCTACATAGCTATTATACCCTCATAAACTCATAGTTGTTGGCATGTCCATTATTCTAATTCTGAGGGGCCTATGGAAGACAAAATAGTGCCCCCATCGCACAAATTTTCTCAGTTATTTTAGTTAGATACTAGAAATTGTTGTCCGCGAGTTGCAGCGGGATTAGAAATCATATGGAAGATGGATAAGCTAATTCTAAATCATCAAATTTGCAACTGCATTTTATGACAATCAATTGAAACCTTTTCTCTAAATTATAAAACAGCATTTAGCATAAACTAATTTGCAGTTCAAATGCAAGAATGCAAAGGAAGATAAATTGTCAAATTTCATACATATCAAACTTCATTTAGGAAACTGAAAACCATAAAAAATAAATTGATAAACATATAAAGATAGTTCAAAATATATAATACGATGATCTATGTTTCTCTCGTAATTATAGAATTTAAAGAACATACTAAATTACCAATCAAACCAATCAAAATTTCCACTCCTTGGCTAATTTCAGAGAATGCCGAATCCGAAATCCATGATCCCCACATTGTCAACTGATTCCTTACCAAAATTATAGCAAGTATTGTTATCTAATTCCAAAAATGATGTTCTAGTACTCCTTGAAAATGCACTGGTTGGTTTCGTCGTCTCTCTCTCTAAGAATAATTGTTAATAGTAATCATAATAACAGGTTAAAAGCCTTGTGAACTATGTTATCAAGAAAAAAAAAATGTCCATGAGAAATAAAGATAGAGGACCTTTACTGGTGTACTCGAGAAATTGAGAATCATTAGCTGCAAATGGCCTTTGATCGGATCACCTTCAAAATCCTCAGGTGCTACAGCTTCCCCGAGGATAGCTGTTCTGTCCAATACAACTCTGCAAGAATAGTCATTCGTCAATTTTAAGCAGGATTGGAAACAAAGCAGGTGTATTAAAGCATTAAGATAAGGTTAGTTGGCCAAAAGCTTTTAGCTTCGTGTGTAATTAACCAGTTTGTCAATTACCTTAAGAGTAAGCATAGGCCAGAAGTAAACATGTTTATAAGCTCCCCACAACTACTTAAAACATTTCTTCTCATTACATGTCCCAGTATAGTTACACTCGTTACAACTTCCAGTTGCGGCCAAAACCCTTGCCATTTACGCTTACTTCAACTTTGACGTGCTGCTAGTATCTAGAGATGATGGTGAACCTTACTGCATAAGCAGCACAGTAGCTCCCGTTTACCTATAACAAATGAAAACCATTTGGAAAAAATAAATAAGCCTTTGGTTATAGCTTTCATTTGCTTACCGTTTCTGATGAGCTACAAAACACCGCCAACAAAAGAAAATCAAACAAATACCAAAAGAAGATTAAGCTCTCAATCAAGTAATTATAGCCAAAATATCAACTATTGAATTCTATGTTGCTTCTGCAATCATTTACCATTCTAAAATCATTATTAAACCATTACTCTATATTCAGTCCTCGTAGCCAGTAATTGAGTTGTGGATATAATTCTAGTGTCAAAGTTGGAAAGATTATGTAGTATGCTAGGTAGAGAGGAAAGTAAGAGGACTTACTTTTCCACCACATCGTCACCTCCAACTTTGTTCCAAACAACGTCCCAGTACCTGTATTATAAGTTTGACTTAAATCAAAGTTCAAACGAACGACAGATTATGCATGTATTTAGTAAACAAAAGAAATCAGCGTTGATATTTGTATATCGAAGATATAAAACTGTGCAGTTGCCCTCTATTTGATAAAGGCACTCAAAATCAAAAGATAATGGTGAATTGGTGATGCAGATGCTAAGATTAGCAATTGGATTAGCTTTTGTTAGACAATTGGGGATGCAAATGCTAAGATGGCTTTGGAAAACAAAGTAATTGGAGTCACACCCTTCCAAATCAAGAGAAGCAAATTGGCAAAATTTATCATAAATTAGAGGCATACCTTTCTGAAGTGTGGAATCAAAGTCAGCACAAAACTGGTAGTACCCTGAAATTAACAATAAATTAAACAAATTGGATGATAAAAATCAAAACAGAGAATCCCTAAGAAACAATTAAGAGGGAAAGAGAGTAAATTTACGACGAAGTTCAGATTGAGAGGGTGTGATTTTAGCTTTTGGATTACACAGGGCACGGTTGTAACCTATATTCATATTAGAGATGAGATTAGAATCGAAAGCACTCCCAAGATTATACACCGTATTTTCCTTCAACCTAAAAATAGAATTAAAAATAGAATTAACCCTTCACATGTTGGGTTACGAAAATGAGTGAAGTCTAAAATATCAATTTCAATTTAATACTGACCAAATCTCAATAAAAATAAAAGTAAAGCAAAGAAGAAACACACACACACCATGCATATGCATGTACATTTGCTTACGCACATGAAAAAGAATACACATGTGAATAAAATAAGACATTTTTAAACCTTTACCATCCTGACCACTATGAAAAGCTTTGTCACAGCTGCAGTCATAGATTGCAAAACCACGCCTCTTCTTTACTTGGTCTTCTTAATCCTCTCCTTAATTTCACTACAAAATTCACACATATAAATGACCAACCAGGGTCCTTGTAGAACAAAACTCAAAACTGAAGTTCTCATCCTAATCAATTGATTCAATTTATAATAAATACACATAAATATTAAAGAGTAACGTGCCATGTTGAACAAAACAAATGATTGATCAACTTAAAAGAGTGTCTGGGAATGCTTCGGCAAGGTTAAAAGCGTTTCCAGATACCAAAATTTGAGCAGAAATAACTAGAAGTGTTATTGAATATAATTAAATTGCAGTATTAATAGACTTCAATATTAACCGTTTACCCTGAAAAGACACGACAACGATGAATAGAATTAAATTGTAAGTGACCTAATATTTTGTACCATAAATATATAAGGGAAATAAAATTACATAGATATACATAAAGCATAAAGTCTCACATGTTTCGGAAACGAAAACGCTACAAATCCAAGATATACGGCCAATTAATTCTTCAACCACTAATGGATCGCTGAATATTCATTGCTAACTTTGTAGTTCTTGTTTGTCATATTTGATCACAACTCAGGAAAAATAAATATAAACACAAACAGAGAAGAAGATATAAGACAATTACCTCTGTTTTGGCAGGAAGCTCATTCCCAAACATAAATACTGATATCTTCCTAAGCTTGTATTATATAAGCCTGTATTATGCAGGTAATGTACTCAGTAAATATGCTTTTGAAAAAAGATCAACAAACGTGATTTGACATGCTAATTCACTGAAAGGATTTGACCAAAAAGACTTTGGGATTAGAGACCTCAAAAACAAATGATGCACATACAGATCTTAATATGGGTAAAATACCAGCTGAATTTAATAAGAAAGAATTCAGACCACAATACTCCAGTTGATGATTAAATCAAGAACTCACTGACCATCTTCTTCCTTGATGAAACACTTGAGAAAGAAAGCGAAGCAGCTTTGAATCTCAGCTACTGAAGACTTTGTACTTCCTCCCCAACTCCTCCAAAACTCCCAGAAGAGAACCTTTCATGCGACCTCTGTCCAACAGCTGCAAAAAAAATATCAAATTTAAAAACGAATTCCAAAAACAAAGCAAGAGAGTGCATTTGGACGTTGGTTTGGGCGCAGAGGCGGTGGAGGGACGGTGTGTTGGTGGTGTAGGCGGTGATGATGGAAATATTAGGGTTTTGATGGAAAAGAAGAAGAGGAAGGGGAGAGAAACCCTAGACACACCTCTGTCACTCTGCAAACTGCCCTCCACCCACTCTTATTTAGACCGATGGGACACCCTTTCTGCGATGGTCAACACGTGCATGGGAGTAGCGGTGGCATTTTGGAAGATGATTAACAAAAAAGATTCAATCAGAGGCCATAGAGATTCAGCGGAACAGAGAGAAAAAGATTATCCCAAACAAAATTCTAAGGAGAGGAGTTACCCTGAAATCAAAGCTAGTTGAAGATTTTTCTTCGAATCGGGAGAACTGGGACGGGATTCACGTTGTGCTTCCTGGAAAACTGTCGAGAGAGAATTGGGGCTGGGTTGGAAGAACGTATTGGAAGCAAAAGGAAGAGAGCAGCAGCAGGAGGGGTGCGTAGAGGCAACGTGTTGGGACTTGGGAGCGGTTGGGAAAGAAGAACGTACCGGAAGCAAATGGAACGTACTGGAAGCAAATGGAAAGGCCCGGCTTTTTCAGTCCTTTAATGGACAGACCGAGCAGAGTGTCTAAAAAAATGGACGACCTAGATTCAAAGTGGATGGTCAAGACAACATTGAAATTACACCATTAAAGTGAGGGCATTTTCGGAAATACACTGCCTATGAACAGTATTTCAGTTGTTTTTCTCTTTTAGTATATACTAGAAATAGTGCCCATGCATTGCTGCGGGATTAGAAACAGTATGGAAAAGTATGTTTCAAAGCTATAATAAAATAGTGTAATATGTGAAAGTTTCGTATGTATAATTCAAACATGCACACATTTATGCGTATTTTACCAATTGTTAGAAACTGCTAAGATAACAACTGGTATCACATAAGTGGTATGCTATTAACATAATGAAATCTGTGAAGCCAAAAAATGATATGGAATTTTAACTTACGATGCTAAAGAAGCTGTATAAGAGTAGCTGGGTCCTCTGTGCTTTATCCATCAAAAGCATTGCAACTGTAGATTGTGGAAACTATAAAAATTCATCCGGTCAAGAGACAAAATTCAATAGTTATGGGTAAAGGTGAATATGGAACCATGAATGTAAGATATAGTCGACAAATTTGCAAATTCATTACAATTTCATAAAAAATACTAAAACTGAAGATCTTAAATTCATAAAGTATCCAAAATTTGATAAGTTTGTTAAAATAAGTATTCATCACAACAATAGCACTGAAATTGAGTTCTTTTGTTTGCCAAGATTTTTCCAGCAACTAAACAGATGAAAGTATAGAAAGTGAAACAATCAATTGAATGAAAGACATTGAATTGAATCTTTATGACAACAAAGAAGAAAAACAATTGAAGTTGTTGTAGGCCATTTTAAATGAAAAGAAGAACATTGGCTTACATAGTTGGAGGCAGGTAGGTGATATGAAATCTGTCATCTATGTAACTGCAAAACATTACGGAAGTAGTAAAAAACAATCCTCACAGATGACAGTAAACTAATAAGAAGACAGATTTGTATCAAACATACAAACATGACAAATGCATATTAAGGGGAAAATAACCAAGAATAAAAAATGAGGCTTTTTAAAGCTTACCAAATAGAATCACCAAGGGATTTTCCAAAGCATTAGGTGATTTTTTGTAATCCTTCTTTGTAATTCTGCAAAAATAAACACAGGAATAACCATATAAGCTCCTAATAAAAGTTAAAAAGCTGATATAAATTGAAATTAAAAAATAAAAATTAGCATAAATTGAATGATTAAAATCTCTGTATATCTATAAAGTAACGATTGTGATTTTTTCCTATTTGTCTTTCCTAGTAGCTATCTAAGGACTAATTCAAAGATCTGTTCTTCCTGTATGTCTAGGGAAAGGAATAACATCTCTAATGTGGTCAATGCTGGTAGCAAATAAAATCATCCATTCGAATCCTAAACCAAAACCACAATGTTTGATGGTCCCATAGTGCGGCAAGTCAATGTACCACTCATACGATTCAGTAGGTAGACCCATTTCCTGAATATGACTTCACTGGAAAGAATTTCAGTGAAAGTACCTCATCAGATGCCGTTTGGAAATAAAGAAATCATTAAATAACAGCTGAGTTCAGTGAAGCAGGATTATCATAAGGTAGTGCCAACTTAATTAATTGCAGTAGAAATGCGTGTTTAAACTACATAATAATGAAGATACTTGACAGCGATTTTTATAAGCTTTCGATAGACTAACAAAGTAAGAATTGTAATAGAGAGAGCAATTTTTGGTAAAACAGTTGTTGCCAGCATCAAAATACACCTTTGGTGCCTTCTTTTAATCATATGGAGCATGATAGTTGTAGTAATTTGTCAAAAATGACTTAGATACTACCACCATTCCAATTAACAGACTGAACCGAGCAGGATTGTGAGAGTATGATTAACCAAATGGAGAAAACTAAGTTAGTATCTATAACACATGGCACCTCACTTTCTCATAGTGGCTTAATGTGTTCTCGACCATTTAGCACCCTGTTTAATTCTAGTTAATATTACTTTGAAAATCCCAAGACCATATTAAAACTCATTTATGCAGAAATTAAGGTCTCGTTTGATAACCATTGTGTTTTTATCAACTTAAGTTAACTTCTTAAATGTAACAGAATGCAAAGGTTTTCAACTCAAACATACTTAAGTCAACATGTGCAGGAGTAAGAGTAGCAACATAATGCAACAACAGGGTTAAGACTACTCAAAAGATTGTAGTTGAACAATCTATGTTCTAATTAGCACTAATCCTGACATGAATACACTAAAGTTCAAAGTTCAGTGAAAAACAACGGAAAACAGATGTATGATGACAGGGAGACACAAATGTAAAAAACAATCAATACCCTTAACTCTTTGTTGATGGACAACTCGGTAACTCATCACTAAAGTTGTAACCTCTCTGTTTAAAGGGTCAAAGGGATTGGGATATAGCAGAAGTTGTGGCAAGAACACTTTAAATATGCTTGTAAGATCTGGAAACACAGGGTGATGTAATTAGAATTTGGTTCAATTAATAGTGCCACACAATTTAGAATAGTAGGAGTTTATGATAGTGAGTACTGACATTTTATCAACATTTGGGTGGTAAGTCTTATTGGCAAAGCCTATTGAGGGAGATTTATAGGGATAAGGATCTGGTAGCTCAGCTGTTATCCTCCACACACTTCTCTGATAAATACCTATCGCAATCCATAATATAGACGAAATGGGGGGATTACGCGATGAAAACAAATCACAGGCAATCCAAGTAGCTATTTTGGAAACCAAAATCTTCAAAACGAATTAGAGCAATGACCAAACAACAAATTCCATTAAAAAAAGACTAATGATTGGATATGGACAGATACAAAAACAGTTTCTAATAAATAACAATGAGCATAAATATAATCGTTTCACATACAATAAGGTAGGCATAAGATGACGGTGATTAATACAAAATTGTAACTGCTAATGGTTAAGATTGAGACGGAGAAGTAAAACATATTGATGCTAAATTTGGTTCTAAAGGCTGTTAACAATCATGGAACAATGCTGGATATGATTGTAGCCCATGGTGAAGTTACTTTTGTAATTAATTAATGACTAACATTGGATTCATGGTGTAGTTCAAGGTTTTATACGTTTTTACCACCAATTGAGTTTGGTTCCATTGTGAAGAAAACAAAAATAATATGTTCAGGTTATCACTAAACACCTTTAAGATCAAAGTGGTTAAAATAGTTTAAAATGAAAGATATCACTTGAGAATAGATGGGTTGATCAAATTTATCCAATGAAAGATTACAAACTGAGGACAATGGGTTGAACAAAAGCAAAAGAGAAGCGGATAAAAAAGGGAAAAAAATTAGGAAGAAAAGAGAGGTACCAACGAAAGTAACAGAAAATTAACAACGCAAAATATTTGATACATTGAATACTAAACGGTTGAACGGATTATATACCTTCAATAAACAGCGGTGGTTCTTGAAAGTGGAGAAGAACAAAATCAGACAGTAATACGAAGCATTTGATTACGAAGACAAAATCTGTGGCATGGCAAAATGAGAATTTAGACATAAAATTTATCTGTAAATCAGAAATCAAAAAAAAAGAATAATAAATGAAAATAGAGACACATCAAGAAAAGAGGCCTTACAACAGCTTCATTAAACGCCAATTCATAACGATTGCAGCTGGGAAACTATACTTAACACCATGCTGATAGGATGTAGAAATGGCATGATCAAATATTAACGGCATGGTAAATAGAGAGGTTGCAAAAGGCTTAAAACAAAATCTTTAAGTTGTAGAATGCAGATGCAAAAGGCTAAAAGTAGTTTATTTACATACAGACGAAAAATATTACAGACATGTGTTGGATTTTAAAACTTGGAACCATCCTTCAAGCGCAACCAGCATTTGGATACAAAAAATTGAAGTGCTGGTCTATGTACAGGCAAAAAAGAATACGAAGTTCAAACTAGAGAGATATTTACATGGCAAACAAAAAGGATAAATATTGTTTCATACACATTAACAAAAAAGTAATTAACACTTTAAAATCACTCCGAACCTCAAAAATGTAAAAAGTAATTAACACTATAAAATAATCCGGAACATACTAAAAAGTCAGTAGTTACTGTGAAAATCAACACCTCAGGCTCATTTGATTAGTGTGATGAAGACTGATGAAACTAACAGTTGTTGCACCATATATTTGGTTAACTTCAACTTGGATTGTTTTCTTATGCAATATTATATAATCAAACATCCCTCCCTACTTAAAAGCTTGTGGTACCAACTATTTCATTTGACTGAAAATTATATGTTTGAATACTCACGGGCTGCTTGCTTGATAGCCATTTTTTCTATCTCAGTGTTTTTCAAAATCACTCATAATCATTTTGGTCCCAATTCTAAAACAGAAAAATGGCAAGAAAAGGGCTTTTTGCAAAAGAATAAGTACGTACCAATTCGGCAGTGAATTCTCGTGATTCGTCCTGGGACCTTGATGAGATTATTGCTGGTGATCTGAAGATAGAAAACTTGAATTAGGGTGGACACAACCTAACTAAAAATCCCATGGATCAAAAGTTTAACCTAAAAGAACCCCCCCCCCCAAATCTCTCTTATCAAATGAGAACTCCGAAAGCAATTCAATGGTTGATAACAACCCATTTAAAATTGAACCCAAAAAAATTTAAAGCTTTTGACATTTAAAACTGAACAAAACACAATCCATACATTATAACAAAAACTGCGTGCATAAACATGCTAGAATTTCACCAAGACCCAAAGCACTGACCAAGACCCACAAAATCAGCCAAAAGATACAAAATAGGGTTAAAAAGTTAAATATGGAGGAAAAAAAAAAAGGGAGGGTTGCAAATAAAGTCGCAGATTGATTTCAAGCAAGAAAACGGGTGTTAATAATGGAGAATCACAAACAAAATTCTAGAGAGGGCGAGAGGACTCACCGTGAATTCAAAGTCGCTTGAAAAATCTTCTTCAAAACGGGACAGAATCTGCCTCAGGTCGTCATCGTTGACAAAGAGCGTAAGAAATCTTCTTCGATATTGAGACCTTACGAAATCTTGGCGTCGGGAACGTCGTTGACCGAGTGCTTCTCGACCTCAAACTGGAGCTGGTGACCACCTGGGAGTTCGATGTTCTATTTGGCCAAGAATTTGGAGCTTCGGAGAGAAAGATATGCAGGGAAATTGAAGTAGATGGAGTTCCCGAAGGGTGGCTAAATCGGAGTTGGACGATAACGGCAAATGGAGATCGAAGGGTTTCCGGGAGAGAGAACAACAGAGAAGAAGGCAGAGAGAACAAACGAAACCAAAACCACAGAACCCAAAACAAACGAAGTCAAATTAGAGGAAAAGAAGTGAGAAGCAACAGAAGGAAAAACAGTGAAAAGAAAGGGAAGATGCCAGAACACGCAGCGATAGCCGACAGCTGGAGAGGAAGGGCAAAACGACTTTTCATTGTAGGTAAGCCAAAACAAAAGGCAGCCAGCACGGTATTTTAAGGGTATTTTCATCATTTTACTGTTAATAAACAGTAACCGAGAGTTTGGGTTTTAGTATATATAAATATATAATTTCGTCGAGAACTTTATGCGCATGTCGTTTGTTGACTAGTCATGATATGCAGATATCGACATACGATGAGTATGTTGGTAAATACCTGAAAGTTAAAGGTCATAATATGCAACTAGTGTAAAATGTACGAGTAAATTAAAACCAATTCAATATAGGAGTAAGAGTGCACACTGCAGGAAGATCTCTTACTACAAATGCAAGCAGTGTTAGAGCATGAAAAAATAGTGCAATAAAAGTAAGAATAATCTCATCCTGGTAGGATGGATATTACACAATTAACAAGAAATAAACTCTCTACATTGTCAGAAGTAGGTGTCAAAATCCGCCAATGATCCCTCCTTACGATAGAATTCAGATACTAATTTTTTAAAGAACGCAAAACAAAAAATATAAGTAAGTAAAACAAAAGGATATACTAAAATCTTACTTTTCGTAATATAGTATTCCCTCGTTATAAAATTCATATAATTTTTTAAATCATACTATAAATAAGTATGAAAAATCGAAGTGAAAGGTATGCGAAGAATACGAGTGAATCACAAATAACTCAGTAAATGTTCCCACCACCATGCCGGTGCGGACTTTGGAGGAGTGCCAAATGAGCCCCATCTACAGGGGGCCCAACTTTTAATTTTATATATATAGAGGAAATTTGAAATAGATCCAATTCTATAGCCCAACATTGGGATTAGTTCAATTTTTAATTACTTTTGACGTAGCTCCAATGACTAGGATTCCATGTCAGCAATTTTTCTGATTAGGTTGATTTTTTTGCATTGTTATTACTATTTTACCCTCCTATAGATTTTGCACGTTCTCCGTATATTTCCCACGTTTTAAATTTTTATCAGAATTCAAATTCATTGTTCAGTGGTCCTTCATCTTTCTCCCAGATTTCTTGATAACAATTTTTGAATTTGAATTTCTTATCAATCTATTTTTAAGGAAGGCTTAATCACTTTTAACTTTCTAGTAACTTTCTATACAAATTACATGTGTTTATACGTGCAGATTTCTTCAGAAGACCTATTCTCTAGGTACAATTTTTATGATCGTGTTTTTCCTTCGTGGTTTGTCGATACTCAACCTTCTCCATCTATCAAAGGAATAAAACACAACAGATTGAATGCCAATTAACTTTCAAGTCAGGTATATTATAATTGTTTTCCACTTTATTGTGCGAAGTCAGGTATGTATAACTTAATTAAGTACAAATTTGAAAAATATCCAAATAATTTCCTGTTTTGGAGAGTATTGTATCTTTTTATATATATATATATATATATATATATATATATATTTTAGAAAAACTAACGAAAATGATTTGAAAATTTTGAGTTTTAACAATAAGAACAAAATAAAGGGTAAAGTGAATAGTACCAGGATTGACTTTTTAGTGTAAAATATGGTTTTTTTGTTAAAGTGAACAGTACCGAGAGCTTTTTGTTAAAGTTCCTTTTTTGTTTTTTGGGTTAAAAACTTCATTTCTTTGATACATATACATTTCTTCAAATTCTTCCATTACTATTGTTTAGTAAATGTTACAAAGTTGACTATCCTCTTAAGTTACGTACTCATATTCATTTCCAAAAATTTTTCGGTTGGAACTAGAAATATGTATTTTTGATTTGATTCAGCCGAAATCAACACACAATCAAAAGCGAAAAATAGTTAGTAATTTCAAATTAAAATCATACTCGACCAAAAAAAACATAAGTAATGTTAACAAAGTAAAAGAAGATATCATTCAAGATAAAAGCCAAGGAAACAACACACACACACACACACACACACACATATATATATATATATTATTGTCACCGATCACTTAGATCATTAAAATTAGTTTCGTAGAATGCGTATCCCATCAAAACGATAGATTCACTAATACTTAAAAGTTTATTTATACTTTTATTAAGTATAACATAAGATTTTGTGGTATTCAATAGTGTAAATATTTTAAATTGAAGATCGAGTTCATTCATTGTATTCATATAGGGTCAAGGAGTGTAGCTGTAAAAAATCATCAAAATTGGAGTTAAAATAACTGTTAAATCATGATTTTTCGTTGCTAACTATAAAAAAGTTTTGTCCCGTTACTTGATCTCTGAACGTTTTTTTTTGTAATTTTTGGCGTATGCGATCTCTAAGTATATACAAACATATTTGATGGTTGGATCGTTGAAACTAGTTTCATAGAATGCGTATCCCATCAAAACAATAGATTTACTAATACTTAAGAGTTTATTCGTACTTTCATCAACTATAATATAAGATTTTGTAGTATCCACTAGTGTAAATATTTTAAATTGAAGATCGAGTTCATTCATTGTATTCATATAGGGTCAAGGAGTGTAGTTGTAACAAATCATCAAAATTAGAGTTAAAATAACCGTTAAATTGTGATGTTTTGTTGATAACCGTTGAAAAGTTTTGTCCCGTTACTTGATATTTGAATGTTTGTTTTTTGTAAGTTTTAGCGTATGTGATCTCGAAGCATATACAAACAAGTTTAACGGTTAGATCATTGAAATTAGTTTCGTAGAATGCATATCCCATCAAAACAATATATTCACTAACACTTAAGAGTTTATTCATACTTTCATTAAGTATAACATAAGATTTTGTGGTGACCAATATAAATATTTTAAATTGAAAATTAAGTTCATTCATTGTATTCATATAGGGTCAAGGAGTGTAGCTGTAAAAAATCATTAAAATCGGATTTAAAATAACCGTTAAATCGTGATTTTTCGTTGATAACCGTCAAAAGGTTTTGTCCCGTTACTTGATCTTTGAATGTTTTTTTTTTTTTTTTTACAATTTTTGTATTATACGATCTCGAAGTATATACAAACATATTTGACGGTTGGATTGTTGAAACTAGTTTCGTAGAATGCGTATCCCATCAAAATCATAGATTCACTAACACTTGAGAGTTTATTCATACTTTCATTAAGTATAACATAAGATTTTGTAGTATTCACTAGTGTAAATATTTTAAATTGAAGATTGAGTTCATTCATTGTATTCATATAGGGTCAAAGAGTGTAGCTATAAAAAATCACCAAAATCGGAGTTAAAATAACCGTTAAATCGTGATTTTTCGTTGATAACCGTTGAAAAGTTTTGTCCCGTTACTTTATCTCTGGATGTTTATTTTTTGCAATTTTTGGCATATGAGAACTTGAAGCATATACAAACAAGTTTGACGGTTTGATCGTTGAAATTAGTTTCGTAGAATGCGTATCCCATCAAAACGATTTATACTTTCATTAAGTATAACATAAGATTTTGTGGTATCCACTTGTGTAAATATTTTAAATTGAAGATCGAGTTCATTAATTGTGTTCGTATAAGGTCAAGGAATGTAGTTGTAAAAAATTATCAAAATTGGAGTTAAAATAACCGTTAAATCGTGAATTTTTGTTGATAACCATCGAAAAATTTTGTCCCGTTACTTGATCTCTAAATGTTTATTTTTTGCGATTTTTTGGCATATACAAATAAGTTTGATGGTTAGAACGTTGAAATTAGTTTCGTAGAATTCGTATCCCATCAACATCAATGGTGGATATATATTTATTAAGTAGATTTAAATTTATTTATTTTTTACGTATATCACTTAAGAAATTGAATGATATGTACATTTAAACCGATCCAATGATCACCAATTTTTAGTATTTAATTTAATATATATATATATATAATTATTATAGTTTTTAGGGGTATAAAATTGTTAAATTAATATATATATATAATTATTATAGTATTTTTTTTAGGGTTATAAAATTAGAAAATTAATATTTTGCTTATCGTGTATCGTGTTACCTGTAACAACCCGTTCCAAATTTTACGTTTTTATTTTATTTTAAAAGCGTGAATTTACAAAATTGCCCTAGAGGTAAGGACTTTGACTTCCGTTGACTATCGACCTGAAAGATGTGGGACTTATTCTTTTAGCATGTCCTCATAGTACTCATTGGTACGAACGTATAGGCGAAAGCCGTTTGCGAGTCCGGATTATAACGGTATAGTTACGGACGTTCGAAATTGGTTATTCAAGGTTAGTGTTTATTTAAATTAAATCCCCACTTTGTGGGGGGAAGCCCAATCAGAAAGAAAGAAGAAAAGAAAAGAAAAAAAAAAAAAAAAAAAAAAAAAAACAGGGGAAAAGCTTCCCGTGCACCCATACCCGCACCCACCGTGGGTCCATTTTCCAACGCCTATTCCGGCCAACTCCGGTGGAGTTTTTCGATGCCACCACCACCATCTTGAAGTTCTCATTCCCCTCTACAAAACCCACCCAAGAACCACCTTGATTAACCACGGGATGTGGAGGTTTGAGGCCACGAAAGTTGACGAAAATCAACGGTGCTCCGGCCACCCTTCTCCATTTTCCGGCAAATCGGCAAAGCGATGGCCGATGCCACCACTTGGTCTTTGTAGCCCATCATCCCAGGAGCAAAACCCAACCAACCTTGACCCCGTTGGACCACCGTAGACGACGAATCGACGTCGGGAAGTTTTTGGCACCCGCCGGCTTCGTGGGCAAAATTGACCATCTTCCGTCCACTTTTGGACTTCGTGGCAGGTATGAAAGTTGCTCCATTCACTAAGATCTTCATTTCTGTGAAGTTTGAGAATTTTTGGAAATAGTTGGATTTTCCGGCGAGTTGGGGCGGCCGACCGCCACCCGCGGCGGCGCGTGGCCAGTGAGCCACCAATGCTATTTTTAGGCTATGTCGAATGTTTTGAATTCAGTTTTGTCATTTGAATGACGTAGGTTGATCGTTGAAACTTAAATTCGTTATGATACGTTACTTGATAAAAATGTGAATCGATGATCCGACCGTTGGATTGTCACCAAAATTGGATACATTATAATACGTAATA